GTCCCATTTGACCCAACTATTCCCCTGCTGGGTATCTTCCCCAAAGAAGTAAAAGAATCATACCACAGTGATATATGTGCACCCATGTTCACAGCAGCACAATTTGTGATAGCTAAAATCTGGAAACAGCCCAATTGCCCATCAACTGGAGACTGGATAAATAAAATGTGGTTTTTTAAAAAATAAAATGGAGTACTACTCAGCCATCAAAAGTGAGAACGTAGAGACATTTATAGCTAAGTGGATGCATATTGAGGCGAAACTCTTAAGTGAAATAAATAGGACACACGTGTAAATACCAAATAGTTTCTCTAGTGTGAGAAACCGAAAGTGTAAATAGGACCAAAGGGTGTAATAGACGGTGTGAAATAGAAAAGGGGCAAAGAGGAAGGAGAAGTTGGAGGCATGTGGAAAGGAAAGAAAGGAGTGGAATAAATATGAGGAAATGAAAAAATGGAAACAAAGTCTTTGTAAATAGGGATGGAGGGGTTGAAGGTAGGGTAGGGGAATGGGGAAAAAATAAGAACCAAGAGTGATTATGTTAAGGTGTAAATTTCCAATGATGAATATCATTATATTGTATACCTAAAATGTACCAATAATATCAATTTTTTAAAAGAATTATAAAAACATCATCATTTTGCAGTGTCTAGCAAAATCATGAATCTAGGTAATTAAGAGCTTCTGTATTATTTTAAAAGACACAACTAATACAGGCATGATGGCACACACCTATAATCCTAGCATTCAGGAGGCTGAGTTGGAGGTTTGCCAATTTGAGTTCAAGCTGGGCTACATAGCAAGAACCTGTCTTTAAAAATAGGGAAATAATAATAGACACAACTAGATATTTTATGCCTTCTTAGGGAAGTATCCCATTTATGAAGTAGTCTTGCAAAAAAAAATATTTAAACCTGATCAAGCTTGTAGTATTTCATGGAAATACTGGGAACAAAAGACACATGATAAATACATCACAAATCTGGAAAAATCTTGACTGAGTGAAACTGTTCAGGATAAAGGATATAGTTCCTTCAACATATACAAGGTAGAAAGGCAGACAGAAAAACCTATAAATTAAAATAAAAAATGTAACAACGAATTGTGATGCATGGACCTTATTTAAATCCTGATGTAACAAACTGCCAGGACAGAAGGAATGAGGGAAGGGAAGACAAGGAAAAAGAGGGAAGGGGCAGAAAGAGGGGATGGGAGAAAGAAACCAAGAAAACACAATTAGGAAAATTTGAATACTGACTGAAACTTTGATAATACTAAACTTAGCCATTTGGGGTGTTGATATTTTAAAAACTCTTTATCTTTTGGAAATACATACTAAAATACAAACGAAAAGCTATGATGCTCTGTATTTGCTCCAAAATAAATCAGTTGAGATGGGGGAAAGGAAAAGGAGGGTAGGTGAAACAGTTGACAACTGATGAGACTGGCTCGTGAACAAATGAATCATACACTCTTCTATTTTTTAGTATGTTTAAAAATTCTCATAATAAAGGAAAAAAGATACATATCCAGATACACACAAAAATATAAACGACATTTTTCTCATGGTAAACCACTTTGGACCTAAATTGGGGAATGTTTTAATGCTTATGACGGGTATTTGAAAACCATTGTCAGAGGAAAAAATAGAACTTACTGCAATGAAAATTTGAAATTGTACAACTCAAAACTTAAGGAAGTGATCTAAGAAAAATATGTAGCACGGTATTTAGAATGACAGATAAAATTACAGAGACGTGGGAAACAACATTAAATTGCCTTGTTAAAAGCTGCTTTAACCTGGGCTAATGCTAGTTAGGGGGAGAGGGGAGCTTTCAGGATCAGCCTTTTACATGCTTTTTTTTTTTTTTAAAGAGTAAAAAGATAGGTTAGCTTTTCAAGGCATCAATAGTCCTGGACTCAATTATTTCAGAAGGCGCTAGTTTCAATAAGGCCACCAGGTGGCGTATTAGCATTTTTTTTCAAAAAATTTGAGAACTACTATGAATACCTGAAAATAAGAAATGCTGTCATTTCATCCTTCATATTCTGCTTTTCTGCTTCTCTCAGGGAAAATAGTTTATAAGAATACAATAGAATAGTCTGTACTTTTCCAATTTAGTGAGAATTTGAATTTTGTATTAAATTACTAATAACGGACTTTTTAAATAATAAAATATATTTGATCCTCATATTACCAGTTTTCATATCGTGGGATGTCTCAAGGTGTGGACTGTATCCCACTGAATGAAATAAAACAATATGTTTTATTTTCCAGGAATTGTTTTATAACCTTTTAAAATAGTTTAACTGGTGGTTTATAAGCTATGAACATTGGTCGAGCCTCTAAATTCCATATGTGTGTGTAACATTAACTGTAAAATCACTAACGAGATATAGTCACCTGCTTTGGATCCTGTTTTGACTTCTAAAATACAAACTTATAGTTTCCGTCAGTCATTTGGGTATTTATTTTGGCTGAAAAGTACAGCAATTAACACATGCATAATCTCCTAAATTTTGAGATGATGAAAAAGAGGTCATCATTTTTTAAAAATCAAACGTCTGCCGTAGGGGTTCCTAATATATAGACATTCTTGTAACGTCACCTTGATCTCCTAATCAGAACAGAGGTTCTCGTCTAGGTTTGTATGTACTGTACCTGTGAAAAATAAAGCACTGTGGCGGGTGTAAGGTGGGAAGTGGGGTCAAGGGAGGCGGTGAGGACTCAACTGTAGGATGTGCGACAGCGCCCAGAGTTCCCTAGTGGAAGCTCCTAGGAGTTGTGCTTCACGCTACGCTCTCCCTTTCTTCCTCCTACCATTAAAACACAGGTCCTTGGCTACCACTCCTGATAAATAAAGTTCGGTCGTCTCAAGAGAGTTTTGCCCACTCATCCTATCCCTGCTACCAAAGCGCAAGGACAAACGCGTTGCAGAAGGGTGGAGCTAGAGGAGGAGCCGGGTGCTTGCGTTGACCCGGAAGGAGTGAAGCCAGCAGTGGAAGTGGCCTCTGGTGTGCCGGGCTGAAGTGTAGCGAGCCTTGGAAGGTTCCGACCTCAGGAAAGCTAACGACCTTCTTCTTTTTCTTAGGTATTCACAATTCTTTTTTAAATCATAAAACAGCTATTGACTTCTCCCATTTACCTCCGAGGTGTCTCCGTGTGGCATGTCTGTACGAGTTACTCTGATTTGCACGTGCTGCTTTTGCACCGGCTTACTGTCACTTCTGACGTGCCAACTCTGCTGTTATTATGGTGGGAACGGGAGAAGTCTTGCTCTTCGTAGATGTAGATGACCCTAGAGAGTAAACGTATTGGTTTTTGCCCTTAAAATTAAGCTTCATGACCTTGAGTATTATTTTGCTGTTAAGAAGGAAATTTTTAGCTAGAAATACAATAACAAAAACATGTCATTCTTTTATTCTGTTCATTGTGAAGTGGATACATCTCCTTTGATGTGCTTGAAATTAGATGTAAAAGATGCACAGAAACTTCTGCTAAGTAATGTTAAATATGTAGCTGCTGGGTTTTGGTCCATTCTTCCACAGCCCATTCCCAAATACGATTCAATATGTGATGTCTGTAGATAGAAGCCTGCAAACATTGAATAGACACCATTCTCAATGTTTTATTTCCTAAGCAGAGGTGCTAAATTAGCAGATTTAGAGGGATCAAACGAAAGCTAATATGAAATGCATCTACTAGCTGGAGATAGTAAAGGTTGATTCTGACCTTTATTTCAACTTTGAACCTCAGAATTTTAGAGCAAAGCAGCTTTCTTAGAACATTATATTTTCCGTTCCTGATTTAGTAAAAACAGTGTACTTTTCTTAGCTTTTGATTATCTCTGAGGGGAGAAGAATGAGTAGTTATTGTACGTAGCCAATTTCATCTAAACTGTAATTTTTAAAGTAGCCTTTTAAAAAATTATGAAAACAATATGTGCTCTTTGTATAGAAGTCTTGGAAAAGTAGAAAAAAATATAAAGCAAGCAAAAGGTTTCTGTAATCCCACAAAAAGAGGTCATTTTGTTAATATTTTGGTATTTTTTTTAGTTTTCTTTTGAAAAATACTCAATATACTTTCTTTTCATATATTGTGGAATTTTTTAAAAATTGAAATCTTACTGTTTTGTATTCTGCTTTTCTGACATAAGACTGTATAATTAATTATTGTCCTTTTTTCACCAGACCTACTTTGTCCTGTTAGTATTGGAAGTTTTCTTCTTTTGGGATCTTAGAAGAATCTTTGAAAGGATTTTTGCAGAATTAAGAATGAAAAGCACTCGGGCCAGGGATTTAGCTCAGTGGTTCCATCGCCTGCCTTGCAAGCGCAAGGGCCCGAGTTCGATCCCTGGTATCAAAAAAAAAAAAAGAATGAAAAGCACTGATCTTAGAATAGGCAACCTGCATCCTAATGCCAACTCTGCCTCTCTCCAGTGATGAATAGTCTTAAATTATGTGACCTCCCTGAATGTCTAGATACCTAAAATAAAAGAATTAGAGAAGATAATTGTCAATATTTCCTTCAGACTTTAGAAATGTACAGTTGTAAACCACCTAAAGTCTGCATGATTTATACCTTTCAAATATTTGTACACTTAATTCTAGATTCTGGATACTTTCCAGAAAATAGCAGATTTAACTCATTCCATTAATATATTTTTAAATTATTCTCTTATTCTTTTGTTAATTATATATTTTACATGCTATTTTAATTTATTTTAATATATTATTTTTCAGAAGTTTGAAAAATTCTGTGGATTATTGAATTTTGGGACTATTTGGAGCTGGCTGTTGTAGTGAACCAAACAAGCTTTTTTTGAAGCTTCTAGCTTTATTGTACTATATATCTTTTTTTTTTTTTTTTTGGTACCAGGCATCGAACTTGGGTCCTTGCGCTTGTGCAGCAGGCGGCAAAACCACTGAGCTAAATCCCCGGCCCTATACCATATATCTTTAAAGTCAATTTTTTTCAGATTGTGTTTGTTATATTTCAGATGCTGAAATGAATCGCCACCTTTGTGTTTGGCTTTTTAGACATTCATCCCTGAATGCTTATCCCCGGTGTCGCATCTATGTCCGTTCTCATCAATTTAGACAGCTGCATCTTAAAACAAGGCTGGGGGTTCTTGGACAAAATAGGAATCACATTCTCTGTTGTCTTTTAAATAAGAATTGGTCCAGGAGATATTGTTATCAAGATACCAGTATGATCTGGAAGCATAAAGCATTTCAGAAATATATGGAAGACCTAAATAAGGAGTACCAAACACTTGGTCGGTGTCTGCAGGACATCCCTGTGAATGAAGCAGACCGAAGGTCCATGACCCGAAGGCGTGCTGAATTGGCACCACTTGCAGCCATTTATCAAGAAATTCAGGAAGCTGAACAAGCAATAGAAGAATTAGAATCAATGTGCAAAAGTAGGTAAAAGATCTGTGTGACTTTCTAAATTAAAGCTTTCTTTCTTTATTTATTTCTTTATTTGGTACCAGGGTTAGAACTCGAGTCCTTGCGCTTTTGAGGCACACAGCAGAACCACTGAGCTAAATCCCCAGCCCAAAGCTTTATTGAACTCTGTCTTTTAAAACACCTATAAGTGAGGGCCGGGGATTTAGCTCAGTGGTGCCGCCGCCAGCCTCACAAGCCCAAGGTCCTGAGTTTGATCCCCGGTACCAAAAAAGACTCTTACAAAAAAGAAACAAATAGATAAAATGCCTATAAGTAATAGCCTCAACACTTAACAAGAACGGGACTATTATACTGAGGGTATTTAACATATTTCAGCTACTAAAGATCAACTACTCAAGAGACCAGGCTCCTCATAGCACTTGCCAAAAAGTTCATAGGCTTTGGAGGATTTGATATTGACCTTTCAGAAGCCTTAATTTATTGAGCAGATCTATACTGAGCACTGTACTAGATACCAGGAATACAGAAATATAGTTCTCATCACAGGGCTTGTAGCCAAGTGAGAGAGAGAGTATATTTAAGTATTATTTGACATGAGTTGAGTCCTATATTACATAGGAAGGCACAAAGTTTCAAGGGAGTGAATGGAAGTCTTCTAGATGAGATTTCACATTAGAGGAGGCACAAGTGAAGTTTTATACTGAAAGAGGTTTAGGGCTGAGAATTTAACTCAGTGGGACTGCATCTGCCTTGCAAGCGCAAGGTCCTGAGTTTGATCCCTGGTACCAAAAGAAATGAAAAGTAAAAATAAAAGAGGTTTATGTAGCTCACAATTTTGGGGGACCATGAACATGGCACCTATCTGCTTGGCTCTGTTGAGGGCTTCACAGCAGATGGTATCACATGGTAGAAGCTCAGGTGGTAGATCTTAAAGTTATTCTTTTTTTTTTAAAGTTATTCTTTTTTTTTTTTTTGGTACCGGGGATCGAACTCAGGTCCTTGTGCTTGCGCAGCAGGCAGCGAAACCACTGAGCTAAATCCCTAGCCCCTAAAGTTATTCTTTAATACTTACTTTAATTTTAGTTTTAGACTATTTGGAATTTGTATTTTTTTTAAACTTTTTTTCTTTTCAGTTCCGGAGATTGGAAAAAGGCTTTTTTACATGCTAGGAAAGTACTCTACCACTGAGCTACATGCCCAGCCTTTGGAATTTGTGTTTAATGGCTTGAAGTATTTTCTAGGACAGTTGACAGATTTCTTAGAATCCATAGAATTATTTTAGTTTAGGCTTGTCAAATAATAAGCCTAAGTGTTTTTACTATTGTTATTGTTTTAAGTGTTATTACTAAACAATAACTAGTGTTATTGTTTTTGTTTTGTTTTTTGTACCGGGGATCAAACTCGGAACCTTGAGCTTGCGAGGCAGGCGGGCAGCAGCACCACTGAGCTAAATCCCCGGCCCTATTGTTATTGTTTTAAGCCTTGAACAAAGCATCTACACTCAAATAAGGGCCTCATTTTTCAGAAATTTACACACTACCAAGCAGGTATTCAATAATTTTCAGATCTATAGTCTCCAAAATATGAATATCTGGCCAAGCATGGTGGTAGACACCTGTAATCCCAGCAATGAGGGAGGTTGAGGCATGAGGATCACAAGTTTGAATCCTATCCTGCCTAAACAACTTAGCAAGATCCTCTCTCAAAAAATAAAAAGGGCTCCTGGGATATAGCTAGGTAGTAGACTGCCCATGGGTACAATCCTTAGTACTATGCAAAAAAAAAAATATATATATATATATATACACACACGTATATTTAAATATATATATTTATTTATATATATATAAATAAATATATAT